AACGGAAAAAGAAGGGATGTGGAGAAAGTCTCCCACCAACTTTTGAAACCCCCTCCGATATAGAACATGAAACAGAGAACTATTGGCATTTTCATGCCCAAGACTGAAGACTATGGACTTTAAAACAAACGCCTTTGGGGATAAGGAGAGTTGATCCCAAACAGAAAGCCCCATTGTGTAGTGTTAGTGTGAAAAGAGCAACTGTGTTTGCCTAGCTGACTCCGAAACACGGACTTTCAGAATAGGTTTCTTATTAAAATGTGTTTTAGTTTTTAATAGTTCTCTGCAGGGTGTTTGTTGTTGTTTTTTTTAAGTGGGGGCTGAGACTGGGAATTGGAGACCATGGAATGTGAATTTACAAATGGTTGAGCCCTGGAGCCTGCGTTTGTCATTCCTTGGGCTTGAGCTGCCCCCCAGTGGTTGCAAGGGGTTTTACAGGTCTGAAAACCTTTGTGCCGGCGGTGCAGTCAGCACCCTGCTCACAGTGCCCCCTGGAGCATCAGAGTAGAAATGCGCCACAGAAAGATTTCAAGGACCCGTGTCCCAGAGAGCATGTCTGAGTGGACGTAGGCCTCCTACCGTCCGGCTAGCAGCGTGTGCGTGAAGCCTTTGCACCTCCCTGGACTTCTCTTGTTCCACTGCTGCTCTCAGGTGCCATGGAGCCGGGAGACGCTGCCTGGCCCCCAGCCGTCCTCACCACTGTTGTTTTTGCACCACTGCGGCAACAGCTACAGCTTAGTACCTTTCAGATCAGGGAGTAAGCCTGGTTTTGAGCCAGGCAGCCTTCGAAGATCAACTTTTCTCTCTCGTACGTCACATGGCCAAGGTGCTCAGCCAGTGGGTGGTCAGTGCCTGGGATCTGATATTCTAGAAGGGACCTCGCTGTCCACTGCGCCCATAAAGATGACCGCCGGGGGAAACCCTGTGGAGCAGTGGTCCGTGCCTCACACACAGGCCGGCTGTGAGGCACCCGGCCACGGCACCTCCTGCTGGTGAGCCTCTTTCAATGCACAGCAACCTGTCAGTACGGAGTGGAAGTGCTCCCGGGTGTGGGTACCATTTAACTTACTTGATAGGTTCTGGGTTGTTGTCTAACCCAGCCAGGCCACAGGTCCACTGGAAGTTGAGTGCATTTTGCTGGGTCTTGCTTTTCTTGCGTGGCAGGGTTTCACTGGTCCCATGCAAGGCCCTATGCTCATTCCCTGGCATCCACACCATGATGCGTGAGCCCCTTGCGCAGCCACTGTGCCAAATCCATCTCATCAAGAGTTGTGTGGTCTGTGTTGACTAGAGAAACAAATCCAGAGACGCTCCTGTGTATATCAAAGAGTAATTGTCTATTAAGACATCCCAGTCCAGATCAAGTCCCTAAGTCCGATATTAGCCCCATATACCCGATACCAGTCTATAAATTACTGTTCAGATTCATGAAACACATGCAATGATGCCAAATGCAGGATGATCACAGGCCTGTGGGTGGAAAGTCTTGTGGATCCAGTGGTGGTGGAAGCGTCTCCAGGGCTCTGGCTGCCATCAGCGTGGCTCCATGTGGCTTGTCAACAGGAAGGCGAAGCAGAGAGAGTGTGTGTCCCGCCTCCATGGAGCAAGACAGGCGTTCCCAGAATCTTCAGGAGAAGGCCACGCCCACACAGTGGCCTCATTGGCTATGATCTGATTGACAGGCTAGACTCCACCCCTTCGCTCAAGTTGACAGGAGATGATGTAACTGCCACAAGAGTCTTCCTCTCTTTCGCTGCTCCTCTGCTTTACCAAATAGCATGTCCTTCTCCAGAGTCCAGTGCCTCCTGATAGCATGGGTGAAGTACCTGAGCGTTGAAGGAGCATTCTGGTTGTACTTCTAAGACAGATTTGTTTGTTCTCACAGCAACACGTGTGCTTGATAACGTAGTAGGAAACGGCTCGCTGCCATCGAGTCAGTGCCGACTCTCAGAGGCTCCACAAGACAGAGTAGAACTGGCCCCGTGAGCAACCCAGACGGTCACAGGAGTAGAGAGCGGCTGGTGATTTCTAGCTGCTGACCTGTGGTTAGTAGCCCAAGGCATTAAAGTGGAGGGGCAGCAAAAACAGGAAGGCCCTTGGCAAGATGGGTGGACACGTGGCTGCAACAATAGACTCAAACATGGGGGCAGTTGTGAGGATGGCGCGGGACTTGGCAGCATGTCATGTGGTCAGGGTTGCTACTAGTCAGAACAGGCTGGAGGGCATCTAACCAGAGCATCATGGCAATCCACAGTATATTCACTCTGTGCGTTCAGCCAGGCGGACTAGAGACACAAATCCAGAGATGCTTATGTATGTATGTAAGGGAAAGCTTTATATTAAGAAGTAATTATGTATCAAGCAAACATCCCAGCCTAGTCCAGATCAAGTCCTTAAGTCCAACACAACTCCATAAGCCTGGTACTAATCCAAAAGTTCTCCATCAGACTCATACGCAGCCACATGCAATGATGCAGAATGCAGGAACAGCGCTGGCTGGCGAGTGCAAAGTCGTGTGGATCCAATGACTGGGGCTTTGCAGGTCTTAGTGTGGCTCTACGTGGCTCATCAGCAGGACGGTGAAGGCAGGGAGAGAGGGGAGGTTCCCAGGATCCTCCTTAGGAGGAGGCCACGCCCACAAGGAGCCATCCGCAGGCTGTGCCCTGATTGACAGGCTGGACTCCACCCCTACACTCTCATATCTTCAAGTTGACTAGACGCCACCAGCATCCCACAACGCCTCTTCTGACCAGCCTGCATTTTTGCTTTTAGGACTTGCGACTTCCCAGATGTGTCTCCCCTCCTTCGCCTCTGAGTTCCACACGGAGGCCCAAGGGCTGCTTTGAGAGGTCCTGGGGGCTTGTTCGCGTGAAAACCTCCCTCATACATGGTGACCTCCCTCCCTGGGGACCAGACAGACTTTGACCCAAATTCTGACGAGGCCGCCTAACTGCTGCCTCTTCAGACCAGAATGGGTCCACGCGCTCAGGAGCCGGCAGCCCCTTTCCTTCACCCCCATCCATCCCTCTCTCTTGCGTCTGCTTGCTTTGGGCGCGTGCAATGAATGGGGTCCCTTCTTTAGTGAACCTCTGCTGACCCAGCCCCCCTTGGGGCGCATGCTGCATATTCACAAGTTCTGCCAAGAACCCCCTGGGAGAACGTGGCTTCTGGGCAATGCCTTCCATCCCAGCACCTTCATGGTGAGCGTCGTCCTCCTGCGGACCTCACTGGGCGACCTGGATGTGTGTCCTGTGAAACCTGCGTGACCCCAGGGGCGACAGGCCTCCTCCGCCCTCGGCTCTTTGAGACATCTCAACCTCCCCCCTCCCTCCCTGCGCAGCGGTGGTTGCTCGGGAGTTCTGCAGAGGGTGACCGAGCTGGTTGTCCCATTCGACTTAGGAGCACACCTCCCCCGCCTGGGATTCTGTCTTTCAGCGGCGAGAGCGGGGCTGGGAAAACAGAAAGCACCAAGCTCATCCTCAAGTTCCTCTCGGTCACCAGCCAGCAGTCTGTGGAGTCGTCCTCGCAGGAGACGACGTCGTGCGTGGAGCGAGCGATTCTGGAGAGCAGGTATTTTTTCTTTTTTCTTTTTTAACATTTTATTAGGGGCTCATACAACTGTTATCCCAATCCATACACACATCAATTGTGTCAAGCGCATTTGTACA